TTTTTTATTTAAATTTTATACATTTGTAGAATTCAAATAAAAATTTTTTTATCAAATTTGGTTTAGTAGTTGTTAAAATATATTTGATCAAAGTTATGTCAACGATTTTGATATAGCTTTTCTATATGATAAATGTTTTAAAGAATTTGTAAACAATAAAATAATAAAATCAAGATGATCTATATGCATTCATAGTATAAATACCAAAAATCCATAATATAAATAGCAATTTTCTATAATTATTATTTTTAAATATTATAAATATATTTTTAATAATTTTATAAGAAAATTTATTTAAAAAAGTTTATAAATTAAGAAGTAAAATTGTGATAAATTATTTATTAACTTTTTAATAACAATTTAAAAATTTAAAAATTATTAAAGAAAATTATATAAAAGATAATGATCATTATATAGTAATTGAGTTGTCATCTCTCAAATTTTACCTATGACAAAATTTGAAAAATTATATTTATAATATAGCAAACTGTCTTTTAATGATTGGTTAAATTGATATATCTGTAACCTTAAATTATATTATTTTAAATAAGAGCTTGAAACATCTATATGAAATATAATATTATATATATATAGAAAAATATATAATTGATATCATATAAGACTTTAGTACAAACTTATAATAAAACTACTAAGTGCAATAAACTAAGAAACTGAAGAGTCAAAAGCTTACTTAAAAATTCCTAAATAAAGAGATAATATAAACTTTTAATAATATAGTCAGACTGATAAAAGTCTATAAAATACTCTCAAAAGAATAGATAAATAAATTAGATAACAAGATATGTAAAAAAACATATGATCAACTAGACTGCTAGAATCATCAAAGAAAAAAGATATATATATATTATACTAACTATCTAAATTAAAAATCAGAGAAGTTTTGTCAGTTCTAAATAATAGTTAGTAAAGAGTAATAAAGAAGACATTGCAATGATAAGTACTAAGATTTTAATAAAGTTTACAAAAATAAAAATAATATAATATAATAGAAAAAAATTATACTTAATTCTTTCCAATAATCATATAAACCAAATTTTTCAAAAAGCTGACTACAGATAATGATATAGTTAATATATTAAACTTTATGAAAACCTTTTTGAAGTGCTGTATATACATTGTTGGACATTAAAATAAAGTTGAAAAAGAGTTGCAGTCTTGTGGTGATAGTTTAAAAAACACCCTAGGACTATAGAAGAAGTAGTTAATAAAAGCCAAGATTTCTCATTAAGTAAACAACAAAGTTAAATATATTAGTTTTATATAACTGTAAAACTTACAAGAAACATCTATAAAGGTTAAAAACTCACAAAAGCTAAAAGTTAGTTCATCTAGTACTCTCACTTTTTCTTTAAAAAAATTTTTGTAAAAGTAGATAATTTAGTTTATTCACTTCTAAAAATTGATATGTAAAATCACCAAAATAGTTAGCAGTATTTACTTCTTAAATGGAATTGTTTATGATGTGAATTAGAAATAATACAGTAATACAAACATGACTATACATATGCCTCAAGTCACTAAAAACCTGTCAAATACTGCCTTCAAACTAACCAGTATCCTATACTGACCCCTCTATAATAAAGTTAAAGTTTTTTTCTTCTTTTTGGTTTTTTGTTTAAATAATTTAAATAAATAGGAAAATAGTAAAGTAATTTCTATTTAGTATAGTTTATAATTTTTATAAACCTAACACAGGCTTATAATTATGATTGTCTGATATTTGTAAATTGCAAGTTTCACACCTGATACAGACTTAAAATCATAACTATCTGATTTTTTGTGAATTGCAAGTTTTACACTTTCTTTTTTTTTATTTTCTTCTTTTCTTTTTTTATTTTTTGTCTTGTATCTTTTATTGTTTACCTCTATACTTCTGTTTTTTTTTATATATAAAATCTTTTTTTTTTTTTTTGCTTTTTTACGAGAAGATGTTATTAGATTAGTAGTATTCTATTGTAAAATAGCAGTCAAACAAGCAGTTTACCTCTGTTTGAATAGTATAACAGATCATACTTAGATACTAATAAGGTGACCAGGTGATGCTGGACTTAAGTATTAGAGAAATTTTTTGTAATCTGTATAGTATCAAGAATTCCAATAAAGTACTAGCATGACTGCTTAAGTTAAAAATAATAATAATAATATAACAGTTAAATAGATAACTTCTGTGATTGCAAGTGTTAAATAACTATAATATATTGCATAAAACTTGATTAGTTGTATATTCTAGTAAGTTTTCTGTTAAGAATAAAATAATTCTAAAAGTTTTGAAAGCATCAGATACTTTAGATAAATATAACCCTAAAGATGTTATCATAAAACAAATTGAACTACATATGTAGAGAGTTTAAATAAGCAAAACTTATGATTAACTTGCAGATATAATACCTAATATAAAAACTGTATAGTAATGTATAAATAGACTACTTAAATTAGGTACTAAAAGTGCATGTATAGCTAGTTGTAACCTTTTATACATAGATGCTTCTAAAAGTATTTGTATTCAAATACTTGAATAAAAACAATGATTTTCAAAAGCAGGGACTTTAACTTAAAAAAAAAATAAAAGAAAATTATTGATTTTAAATAGTAATTTAAAACCGTTAAAACTAATGAAATTAAAAATTATTTGTCTTTTTTTAAAGTAATAAAAATTATAATAAATATTTTGTATATTTGTAAAAACAGTGAATATAAACTAACAATATATACATTTAACAAATTTTAAATAGCTATAAAAAAAAAGAATATAAAATTAAAGTTTTTTTGATAAGCTGTATTTGTTAGAAATCCAAATTTAAAATTTTTGTATAACTTTTTTGTCAAAAAAAAGTAACTTATTTTTAGAAAAATATAGCATTAATAAAACTTGCAACTACTAGCCAAGAACTAAAATAAACAAATTTTTAGTAAGTTAAAGGTCTTAAAAAACAAATAATGTTTAAACAAATAATGTTTAAACAAATTGTACTTGAATTATTTAATTAAATAAATTTTATTAAAATAGATAACAGATATAGCTATTGCATTAAAATGTGATATTATAGAATAAAAACAAACTCGCAGTTAAAAACAATAAAAATTAAAAATTTTTGTTATAATTCTGATCAGAATTATATAAACTTAAACTATAATAATTTTACCAGATTATAGTGATCAAAATTTTAGTTTTATTGATAAAAATAATTAACTTTAAAATTTTTTTTACAATATTAGAATTTTAATCAATTAAAAAATAATTCTTATAACTTTATTTTTTAGATCTTTCTTTACATTTTTAAAGAAAAATATTATTCTAACTATATTAGTTATTTTTATAATACAATTTAAAAATTGACTATTTTTTACTTGCTAGTTTATGTTTTGCACTGTAGATCCTAAAAGACCGAGTCTCGTATATGACTCTTTACGGTAGTCCCTGAAAAATCATCAGTGATTCAACAATGATGACAGTCTTCTAGTACAAAAATATCTATATGAAGATTATTTATGTAATCAAGATACACCAAAATTATCAGAAGACTGTCATCATTGATGAATCACAGATTTTTCAAAGGCTAAGCAAATAAAATATAATTTTGCGACACTCATGTAACTAACAATTATTTGTTAATTAACGATTTGAAACACCAATACGTAACAGATGCTTTGAATTATATATGCTGATCAGAATACATAACATCACGCATTATCTGAGTAGTTCAATCTTCTGGAATGAACTACCTTTATTCACTTCCCGCGTCAATGAAATATTTGACTGAAAAGTACAAAGTTCATGCTTATCTGTCCATGATTTGCATTTTCTCGTGAAAGCAATCAGCGAAGCTTAGTCACATGTTTGGTGTAAACGATTTGTCTATCGCTATGTTATATATATAAAATTATATTAATGGAACTAACACTTTTCAGTCGTTAAGGATGAAATGTTTCTCAAGCTTAATGTCATCTTTAAGAACTAAGAATTTTAAAACATCGAGAATCGAAATTAAGATTCACAAAGTATACCAGTTTGACCCTTTTTATGAACATTGTAAAATAAAAAAAGTTGGATGCAAAAGAGCTTGTTTCAAAGAAAAAGTACTGTATGTTGATAATAGTAATGTGAAATGCATATTTGAGGTTATTCTTTTTTTTTATAATCAAATATTAATAATAAATATATTATTTGATAGATTACGTACGAATAAGTGAACGATGATCGAAAAGGAAATATTAATTTTAATTGTAACAATAACTTTCATAGAGGACAAAATGTTTTATTTTCCAACTCTATAGTAGCACCCTTAATACAAAAAAAAAAATTGCAGTTGTGGTTAAATAATTAATGATAGAATAAAATCTAATAATAATATTTTTTTTAAAAAAAAAAAAAAGCTTCAGAGTTTATTCTAGAAGTAAATGCACTTTGGCTAAGAAATCTAGTCACCTGATATACAGTTCCGGAATTTAGTGCAACGTAATAAACTAGCGTCATTGTAGAGTTTTACAGAAGTCCGTTATAGACATATAAGTTCTTCAACAAAAAAAAAAAAAACTCTCTTCTCACCTCTCAAAATTTGATATTAAGCCCTACATTAAGGTGTTTCTATCGAAATTTTGGTCTGTTTTCGAGGCCATCGAGAATGTCTTAATTAAAACAAAGATTTGGTTGGTGTTCACGACTCTTTGCCGTGTTTGCGTCGAACAAAGTTCTGATCTGGCATATGGAATGCGCACGCACTTTCTTCACTTCGTCTGTCCTGCTTATATATATATATATATTTAGTTCCATTTATACATTTTTTTGTTTGTATTTAAACGTCCTTTATCATTATATTATATCTTATTCATATACTGTTGTGGCAGCATAAAGCCGTCTAATTTAAATTCACATCTTTCAAGTACCTGTAAAGTGTCTTGGTCTTCTTATCCTCTGTTACTTCGTTTTCGGCAAATTAAATTAAAGGGGTCGGTGCAGAAGTCTTTGCACTTGGCAAAGAATGTCAAAGAGCCTGTCCAGAAATATGGTAAGGACATTAATATCTGATTTGTCAGGCATCTGAACGAACCTCAACGCTAGTGTTAATCATTCATAATTATTTTCAAAATGTATTTATTATTTTGAAGCCCTCCTTTGCTACTCCCGTTCCTGAAACACCAATTCATTCCCAAAATATGCCCGTTGAAGATTCTTCTGTGGCAAATTCAAATCCAACTGTTGATGTTAAAAAGATTGTTTTGTTAAAACGAAATCCAAACAATGTTACCGATAATAACAGTACACAATCCGGTGCTGGGTCTAGTACTCTCATTTCATCCATCGATTTGATGCAAACCCCAAGCAGATCTGGTTCTTCATCACCAAATCTTGAAGTTGAATTGACGCCTGAGCAAAGTGCACATCTTGGAGAAATAGATTTCAATACAGGTCTTGATGGTTTCTTGCTGGCAGCACTAAAGAATCCCAAAGATAGATTATTTCTCTTAAAACTAGATAGAGAAATGGAACGGTTTATTAACGAGAAAAAGTATTATTTTTAGAATTTTTAATGTTTTGTTAATTTTATTTTAACAATTTACTTAGTTTTTTTAAAAAAAATTTTATTAGTCATACAAGATTGGAATTTCCACCCATGAATTCCTATCAACGACTAATCGTCCATCGTGTTGCACAATATTTTAAATTATCACACGTTGTTGACAGCAGCGGAAAGGCTGTCGTCCTGTACAAATCATCCGATACACAAATGTATGCATTATATTTCAGATAAATAAGTAATCAATACAAATATTTACATTTTAAGATTAATCATGTTTCGAAATATATGTATTTAGACCAATCCTTCGATTTTCGGATCTTCTTGAGCAAGAGGAGGAAAAACCGGAAAAATCAGTAAAGATCATGAGACGACAACAGATAAATGCTCAATCACAACTTCGATCTACTGGTGATTCTGACAGCAATTCCGAAGGGGAGCGTAAAATTTTAACTATTGAAGAACGGGAAGCTGCATACCAAAAAGCAAGAGCAAGAATATTTAAAGATTTGGAGCAAAAGAACGAGGAGAATGAACAAGATGAAAATGAAGAATCTGTGTCTTCAAGTCCAAACACAAAACATTCTAATATCTCAAATAACAATGATCAACAAAACAGTGACTTGACCTCTTCAAACAAATCAAAAGGCGCTCAACAAACCAAGAGCGCAAATGCAAACAATAATAAAAATAATAAACAATCACAACAAACCAATAAAACTGTCGGAAATAACAAAAATTCAACTAATAAAACTAGTGTAAATACTGTAAAGAATCGGCAACAACAGACACAAAGGTTACAAACGATTAATTTCAATCTTCCAATTGATCGTTCATTTTATATGTCTAAACAACCACGACCGGTTGGTAATTTTCCGGGTCCTCCGCCCATGATGCCGCCAGGACCATTTGGACCTCCATTCTTCGGTGGACCACATTTAAACATGTATGATGTGAACATGTTACCTATTCAACCTCCAATGCTACCACCGGAGATGCACCATATGGGAAATCCTTACATGAACGTTCCTCATGAATGGAATCCTACGCTTGCTGGGCCGTATGGTCGTCCAAATGTAAGGAATGTATGGGGTGAATCGTTTAATGCACCTCCGGAAATGGGTGGTGGGCCATCTCTATTCAATCAGCAACCAAATACTGGAAATTCTTTTTTACCACGTCCCACTCAACAAAATGATACAAATTTTGCGTCAACCCAAGGTCATAATCCTTTGAAATATATGAATCAACACCCACAAACTACTTCATTTGGAGAAACAAATCATGTAGTTAATTCGTCTGCATCCACCGCAGATGGAAACTCTAATAAATTAACATCGGCTCGAGATGGAACTACTTCACCTAATTCTCCAATATCCCAAACTGGATTTGAAAATAATAATTCTCTTTGGACTAAAAACCAGTGGGGAAATATGACTAGTGGTGAAGGAACGAGTGAGAATAAATCGAATGATCAACAATCTGACCAAAAACGAACGAACAATAGACCTTCTACGTTTGTTCCTACACCTCAACAACGTGAAGGACCAGTGAGTACATTTTTCATAATCAATTTGCAATAACGAAGAAAATATTTATCATATCGTTAATATATTTATTTTTAATGTAGTTCTTCAATTCGGTTTGGAATAATAATAATAATAATAATAATAATAATTCAGATTCTACTACGATGGGAGTTTTTAATCCAGCTCAAGCATCAGCGGAATTTTCATCGCAGAATACATCCGGATTGCCAATGATGCATCCTCATATGTATCCAGGATTCGTTCCAACACCGATATCAGGGCCGGCTTCTGGTCCTCGACGTAATAATAATGGTAATCAAATGTTTCCAGGACCAGTACCTCCGGAGCACGTAAGTTTGCCACGTATGAACATGATACCCCCTCCAATTATGGGATTTCCTCAACAACCTGCATCACTGACTGGTGCCATAAGACCTCCAAAGTCCTCAGAGTTATTTGATCCGAATCATTCAATACAATCATCAAATATTGCAACATCTGCCTCCGATTCCATCTCACCCACTTCAGTTCAGCCATCTTCTGGTACGTTAACGTTAGTACCTTTACCATCCAGGCATTCACCGCCGGTAACATCATCAAAAGGATCATCTATTTCAAATAATAAAACAACTGCCACATCATGTGCCGGAGTACCTACTGGAACAAAAGTTATAAATCAGAATCATGTTAACACCCGTCGAAAAAATAACGGAAATGATACTTCAACTAATGCAAATCATAACTCCGTTGTGAATGGTACTATGATGCGGTCGCTGAGCCTTTCTTCAAACCATTCGCAGGGAAAAAATCAGAGTAATCACCACCGTGCATCTTCCACATCACCATCAGGAAATAACAAAAAGAAAGAAGGTGGGCTGTTGTTTGATTATTCCATGCAAGTACCATACGAAGGTGTTAAGCCCAGTGAAGGTAAATCATAATTAAATTGAGATTTTGATAATTTTTGTATTAACTAATCACTTATTATTTGTAGCTAACGAACCACCACAACCAAATCATATTATCGAACTTTATGATTTTGCTGAATCTGACGATTTAATTGATATTACATTTGCTAACGCAACTATTAAAATGATTTTTCCACCCCAAAATTTGCCTACCAAGCGACCGACAATTTTAGCTATCTTTAAGACTTCGCGCGAGGCTAACAAAGCAATGCAAAATTTTAGAGGTGTAAGATTCAAAATCAAGACATGGGAACCTTTGGTGAAAAATAATGGAAGTAATATCACACTTTCCAATGTTGTCGATTAGATTTTGGAACTCACTGGACTCCTAAATGTTTTTTCAGTGTTTCCAATGAAAAATTCCACTAGAAAAATAATCCCATTAGAATAAATAAAATATTACCCAATAAAAATGGCCATATGTGAATTTATAAATATACTAGTGGGTATCCATTGCCTGTAGAAAAATGTAATTTATAAAATTTGTAGGGGGTTTAGTATTTGTTGGTATCAGCGTTAACTCTTAACATAATGAATGAAAAATGTTAAAATGAAAATTTAAAAAATTGCCAGAAAAATTCATTGGTCCCGTGACATAGTGCCGATCAAAAAAGTTAGATATTTTCGGTGGTAAGCTCTTGCTTAATGTAAATTAAGCTTAAACTACGTAAAACAATAACCCTAGCTTCGAAAAAACGTCTATGCTTTAGCCTTAGCAGGATGTTCTGATAATTCCGGAATATAATTATAGACTAACTTTTATCTGTACAATATTATAAAACCTTACTCTAAATAAAGTATTACTAATTATATATTTTTATATAAAAAAAAAACTTAGTAAATTGATATTTTTATATTTTTTAAAATCAATATAGATTATAAAGAAGCAAAAATGTAACAACATTAAAAAAAAAACATAAAATATTGTTTTATCTTACTACTGATAATATATATATATATATTATAACTTTAACAAGATCCTTATATATATATTTTGTACAAAGTTGGCTTAAATTCTGGTTTGATATCTTCTGGTTATTCTTATAAGTACTTAAATGTAATTTGTCATATTAGTTAAAAATTAATCTGGTCTGAAAGTTATACCAAGCTAGTTATTAGGATTATGATTTTTATATTTTCATTTTTCAACTTTTTTTTTTTATAATTCAGTTTTAATTATCTATTATATTATTTTTTTTCTTATATATATATATTTTTTTTGGTATTAAGATGACCTTTTTGGTTTTTTGATTTTATTAACATTTTTTAGATAACATAGTTTTATAAAAACTATTATAGGAAGAATATACAACTGGTTATATATATAATTTTTTATATTATTTATTTAAGAAGTTTGCTCATAAGTTCTTCACTAGTTGCTATATCTAACATCTTTACTTAGGTATTTTATTTAAACTTTTGAACTTATAATTCATGTTAACTTTATTGGATCATGTTCAGATTCTTGTTTCAATTTTATAACTAATTTATTTTTGAGGTAAATCTTTTAAAGTCTTTTGTATTTTTATTTACAGTTGACTTAGACTTATTATAATTAAATCAATATTTGCAATTAGGATTAATTATTAAACTGTTTTTTTTTTTTTTTTTGGAGTTAAGGTGAGGTCATGCCTCAGGTCTGTTTATTCAAGCATATTGTTACAGTTTGTACAACTTTTTACATTATACATTATCTATTACTATATGTCTAATTAAGAAATGAGACTTAGACTAATTTATCTGCGACCTAAACCTACCAAAGTTAATCTTGTATCCTACTTACATATAATCTGGATTTTTGTTTTACATCCATCTATATTAGATAACTTGCATATTTCTCCTATGTCTTACAACCTATTTAAACAACTTCCAAATTAGTCTACTGGGTCGTTCGCTCCTTATGAGTTACCATCTTTGGTCTGCCAGAACAATGCCTTACAGTTCATATCTCAAGCCAGGGTCCTGCTGTTACTGCTAACTTCCCAATTTAGGTACTAGTAGTACATATCTCAAGCCAGGTCCCTGTTGCTATTACTGGTTTGCACACTTCTGATCTTAACATTATTTTCAATGAATTGTGTAATTAACCTGCCCCTTTAGTACTTTCTTTTATGATAATAGTCCGAACCTGTTTTGCAAATTATCTCTTCCAGCTGTTGCCATCGTAATATTACTATTACTTTCAATTTGGGGTATCTCAACCTTGATTGGTATAACATTTATGTTAATACATTTATCTTATATCATTATAGACTTCTATATAGGTATAACTAAAGCTCTGACTTGGTACCTTTAGATGTACAGAACAGGTTACTTCCTCTATACATTTGCTATTTTCAATATCAGGACATTCCACAGTGTCAGAAATGCTTCCAATCTTGATAAGACTAATTCTTTTTCACAGCCCATCCTCATGTTCACCGCTTCTCTTACCATTTCAGTCTTGGTTATTTCTAAACTACTCTTCCAATCAAATCCTTTTCTTGAGTTTTAATTAGGACTTATTTGCACAATCCAATGATTATCCTTCCAAGTAAATATCCCACAAGTTGGGTGCGGAGATGTTGGTATTGCCTAATTAGAAGGTATAGGGATGTTGGTGCTGCTCTAGCCTAAAGGACTTATATATGCAATCTTTCCATAACTATAACCTTCTGTAACAGCTACTTGTTACACATAATGCCTATACTCTATGATTGGGTCTTCTTCCAGGAATTCCTACTTCAGTCATGTACTGTACTTGGACTTAACCACAGGGCTTCACATTTAATTACTGGCTCTTTATTAGGTTACAGAGACTAAAATCTTTTTAGTTTTTGTCTTCAGCCAGACTTGAATCATTAACCTTGACTGTGGGGGCATGAGAGCTTAATTGCTAAACTATGAAACCCATACTCTCAACTATTAAACTGTTATACTCTTATAAAATTCATACAACTTAAGTATTTTTTTTTACAATCTTGTAAGTATTTTGTTTACTTTTGCAAGTACCAATTTAGTTTTTAGTTTTTTTTTTTTTCTTTTAAGCAGTCATGCTAGTACTTTATTAAGATTTTGAAATTACATTTGCAATTATATAAATATTTTTAACAACTAAGTCCAGTATCATCTGGTCATCCTAATGATACCTAGATGCAACCTGCTGCATTACTTCAAGCAGAAGTAAGCTGCTCGTCTGACTACTTAAAATCTATAATGGAAGGGCTTTTTTCCTTCTATAACAAGCTTTAGAATTGTCTTTTGTGCTTCATTTCTGATTTGTTTTTTTTTCTTTTGCTTTTTCTTTTCTTTCTTCTATTATTTATCAGTTTGGTTTTTCTTTTTTTCTGATATTTTTCTTTCTTTTTTTCTTCTTCTTTTTGTTCTACCTGATATTTCTTCTTTTTTCTCTCATTTGTTAATTTTTTCACAACAAATTCTTCATACTTGTTTGTAAAATGTGTTCTAGACCATTTTTGTTATTATGCTTACAAACTTCTGTTTTGATTTTGTGTTTAGAAGCTGCCTCAATCTATTTTGTGTTTTTTTTTTGAAATAAGACCTTTGATTAGTGCCTCTCTCATTTTAACTTCTTCTACTTCTGTTTTTCCAAAAAGCACTGTGTATAATATATATAGAGGAATTTGAACTTTTTTTTCTTCTTTCAGCCCCTTCCAGGCTATTGCAATTGTCACTTTTTGGATCTTTTTCTAAAGATTCTTTTGTTCTTTACATATTGCCAAATGTGATTGTATTTTTTTTGTTTTGTCTTAACATATTTGGCACTCTGTTGTTGTGTATATATCTGATCTTTTCTTATTAAGCTCTTCTAGTATTGGAAGCTTCTCTATTACACACTTTATAAATGCACTTCTTCTGGCACTACTTTTTCTCATTGTGCAATGTACTCCTTTAAATATCTTTAGTCTTCTCCAAAAATATGTCCAATCATAAACTATAACTTCTGTTTTTGATTCTAATTCTCTAATTGCTTTCATTTCCTTCTATTTTGCTTCTAATCTTGTATTTGTTATTAATTTGCAGAGCAATCTTACTGGTATGTTAGTATGTTTTTTTTCTCATCCTAAGCAGTACTCTATCTCTTTGCAACTGACTTCTTCAGCTTGTATTGTTCTTTTACTTATTACATTTTTTTTTGCTAGACTATCTGCTTTGTTATTTCATCTATCTTTACTGTGACTTTTAACCTTAAAAAACTCTATCTATATGTTTTTTGTCATAATAAGATCTCTAATTTTTATTATTCATATTATATTTTTTTTCTTAAGAATCTTATTTTTGTCTATTTGTTCTAAACCTCTGCTGATGTTTCTTATTGCAGCATTACTATCTGTATATATTTTTATTTATTTTCCTTTTGGTATTATTAGGATTGCTGCCTATATTACTACTAATTTTGCTATTGTTAATGTTTGTCATCTTTCTAGTCCTACTGCTAACTTCTCTTCTGGTCATTCTTGTGTTTTATCAATTTGCATCTATCCTATATCCATACTACTTTTATTTCTTAAATCTTCTTTAGTCTTTATGTTTGCTGTTTTATCTATATATATTGTAAACTTATTTTTGTTTCTTATTGTATTTTTTCTTAAAACTTCTATCATTTCTTGAGCAATGTTTTTTTTTAAATTTTGTTGTTTGATTATTTCTACTTCTAACTCTTTTATTGTTCTTAGTCCTTCAAGCTTCTGCTTCTCTATTTCTGGTTTATTTATCTTTGTTGCTTCTATTATTTTATCTATTGCTAATTTGATCTTGTTGCTATCTTTTTCTATTAAAGCATCTGGAATTACATTTATTTTGTTGTTTATTCTTATCTACTGCTGGCAACTATTTTCCAATTGTTCATTATTTTTTGTACAACCCTTATATCTATTAATTTCAACAGCTAGTTCATTCTCTTTATTTTATATTTGCCAATGTTTTATTAGTATTTTCTTCTTTTTCTTTTTAACTATCTTTCCTAACTGTTGATGATTTTGTATATTATATATTATCTATTTTTTTCTTCTTTTATTTTTTGAAACATATTCCTATTTCATTTGCATTGTTTGGATATTTCATTTATTTGTTCTAAAATATTCTTTAACCTCTCTGCTTTCTAGTTTACTAAGCATTTCTAATTTAATTGCTTTGAACTATTCTGCTTTTTTCTTTTTATATAATAGACCTTGATAAACTTTTAGCTATTGCTATGTAATTAGTTTTATTTCTTTTATGTTGAGCAGCTGATTTAGGTATATTACATCTGCTTTGTTTATTCTGATCCCACTTCTTTTCTATAATCATATATCTATGAATTCTTTT